TGAGCACTCATTAGGGGTGAATTTCACTATGTTTTTATTGTGTGGTTGATATATGTTGTTGTTGTGCTATTTTAGTTGTTGTACAACATTATATAGTTCTTATTGATCTCAATATAGGATGATAGGTAGATCTTCTAGATATCATCTTCCACACCTTTTTACGGGAACCAAATGTTTAGGGTCATGGAGATGATGACTACAACTATGCATCAACATAATGATGCTCTGGCTCAGATGAAAGCCAACAGGGTTGTAGCTAAGGAAATTAGACCAGTAATTTCTTAGGAGTACAAGGATTTTACTGAGCTCAAAAAGGGGAATCCTCCTTAGTTTAAAGTTGATGTCGATCTAGCTAGAGGTAGTTGATAATGGATCAATGAGATGGAGAATATTTTCAGGGTGATGGAATGTCTAGAAGACAAAATGTTAACTTATGTAATGTATATGTTGATGGGTGAAGTTGAGTACTAGTGGAAAGGTACAAACAAATGATAGAGGTTGAGGGTATAGTTGTGAATTGGAAAGGCTTCAATATAGTGTTTCTTGAGAAGTACTTTCAAATAATGTAAGATTTGCAAAGGAAGTTGAGTTCTTGAGATTATATAAAATCCATGATTATGTTATGAAGTTTGAGAACTTGGCTCATTTTTATCCTAAGATGTAGAAATTTCAAATAAGGTTTGAGATATGAGTTCATGAGGGTGGTGATTCTTATGGCCATCACTGATTTTCATGCCTTGGTAGAGAAGGCAAAAATAGTTGAGAGATTGGAAAGTGGTAATCAGGTGGCAAAGGCACATGAAGGGCTAGCTGGATCCAAGAAAGGGGGTAAGCAAATGAAACCTTATGACAAACCTCCTCATCATTAGGGGGTTTGTTGCAAGGAGGCCTCCTATGATACCTTAGGAAAGAGTTCCCAATGTTAGATGTTTTAAGTGTGGAGAAGCACATTTGATTAAAGATTGTTCCTTGAAGGAGTTCAAGTGTTTTCAGTATAGCAATTTGGGCACATGGTGAAGAATTGTCCAATGTAGGCTAGTCAAACTAGAGGTGCACTGTGGGTGGAGTGATATACTATTGCAGGTTGGTGTTTGCTTTGATCAGAGTTTCAAGCTTCCACTTCTACAGACATTGTGAAGGGAAAGGGAAAGTCTATTGGTAAAGATGTTTCTATCCTATTTGACTCAGGTGCTACACACTCTTTTATATTTTTTGCTTTTGTAAAAAAGTTGAAGTTATCTGTTAATTCTTTGTGTGTTGATCTACTAGTATTTACTCCTACATATACTTTTGTGATGACTTTTGGGTTGTGTTTGAGATGTCCAGTTGAAGTGTTGGGGGTATTGTTATAAGGTGAATTTGATGTGTTTTCCTTTACTTGAGTTGGATGTAATCTTAGGAATGGATTGGTTATTGGCAATCGTATCCTTCACTACTACAAGATGCATATTCTGCATCGGTTCTCTAAAGTCATCTACATCGGTTCTAAAACCGATGTAGAATAGAGCGACGTAGAAAATGTATACATTTTTACATCGGTTCTGAAAAATTGATGTAGATTTATGCATAAATCTACATCGGTTCTCTGGACAACCGATGTAGATTTAAGCATAAATCTACATCGATTCTCCAGAGAACCGATGTAGATTTATGCTTAAATCTACATCGGTTTTCTTGAGAACCGATGTAGATTGCATTTTTAAAAAAAAAAAATTATGCTTATTTTTGGATTATTTCTGATTACCTATAATGAACATATATATAACTTTAGAAATTTCATATTTCATATTTAATCCCCAAGGAACTGGTTAGGAGCAGTAACCAAACTGAAGAAAGAATATGAAATAAATACAATAATATGAACTAACGGGGGAACCAAAAAAACCCTCTGAGCAGATTTTCCTTAATCTTTCCAATATATATAATTCTCAGCGAGGAATTTACAGCTACCACACAAGTATAAACAATCAAATAAACCAAATATACACAAGTCTAAATACAATAAATAAGGAATTTCCAATATATACACCATGTAAAGCTTTTCAACGACCTTGAATGTTTGATTTCCATCCCGCAAGTGATGTCAGAAATTCCATCACCTGCAGATACAATACAACATTGGTTAAATTATGACATCAAAAAGCAATATCAATATAAACAATCAAACAAATCAAATAAATATAAACTTTGTAGGTTTGGGTAAGTTTCCATAATTCAGCTATCATCATAAAATATCTTTTAGTGGAAGACACTCGCCTCCAAACAAATATATAAAGGCAATATTTTCTATGATTGGTACTTGTTTCTGCATTGGTCCTGGGTTTCCCAAGTGGGTAGGTAGTGTGATAATTTTTTGAAATTTTATCAACAGACATGTTAATGTACTTATGCACGATGAGAATAAAGTAGACAACACAAGAATTTTACGTGGTTCACCCTTACACTAGGGCTACATCCACGGGACCAACTCCGAAAATATTTTATTACCACCTTCCACAAATTGTGGGAATACAGAACTCTTCACTCAACAAACACTCACTCTACAAGAGGAAACTTGTGTTTTTGAGTAATTTCTGAGTTGATTTACAAGTGAAATGGGGAGGCCTATTTATAGTTGAAGCTCCAAGGACAATCTCGTAAATATCCTAAAGCTTAGGGGCAAAATCGTAATTTTCCCTTTTGATTTTTTTTTCACCAGCACCGAAAGTTGTTTGGCTGGTTTTGGTGGCTGGATTCTTCTACACTGTGTTGCCCAAGTGGGTAGGCAGTGTGATAATTTTTTGAAATTTTATCAACAGACATGTTAATGTACTTATGCACGATGAGAATAGAATAATGTCTCATTTCTAAGAAGATTCATGTCGAGTAGTCTCCTTAGTCCTTTTAGGCGAGAGGAATCGAGTTCCCCAGGTCGAGTCGAGTCATGATCGACTAGGTCTATGCTGAGCCCTCGGTCGGGTTGGTGCCGAGTAGGCATGGTCGCCCCACTGCCGAATAGAGGTGCAGGTCGGATTTCGACCTGGACGGCACAATGTTATTCCGGAATTTGCCAATCAATATATGGAATATTAGAACAATTTCCTCCCGAAACGACCCGCAAAAAATTGAAATCGAGATGTGAATTAATATGACCTTTAGACCCAGTTTTGTTATAAAAAAAAATAGTACACATATTACGTTGTCTAAGGCTATGTCTAAAAATAATATTTCAATATTTCCCAACTTCTTAATATTATCAATAAAAATTGCATGCTTATGATAAATTCGACAAGATTGATTTATAAAAACAAATATATATGTTGAGTTAAAACAACAAGCCATTGATAAAATAAGAATGTATGTCGAAAAACGTATAATAAGAATTGTAATAAACTTTTGAATTAGTAATTAATATATATATATATATGAAGAGGGATTTATTTACAAGTCTACTTAAATTTACTTTACTTAATAATTTATTTTCTACGTCAAATTTCAACGATTAAACTATAAATTTAAAATTTTTAATGCATTAATCAAGTTTGTAAATTTGTAAAAACATTTAAAATTACTTAATATTTCATTTCATTAATCAATTTAACGTATAAAATATTTTAATGATTATTCGTAAATTTAAATTAAAATTAACGAAAGATTAAGACAATAAACATATATATATATATAATTATTAAATGATATGGGTCTCATACTCGATCACTAACAAATCACCTTCACAGTTTAATAGTTGTTACCTGACCAAATAAGAATGTGTGTTGAAAAAAAAAAAAAAAAAAAAGGAAAGAAACATTTTAGTTCTTGACTGCTAGCATTCCTAGTTTAAAAACTGTAGTAACAACAATTAGAAGGGAACAAAAAAAAAGCATTTGCCCAATAGTAAAGTTCATTCGTAACTTCAATACCTTCCGAGTTCCAATCCTTCTTATTCTTTTTATTTTATTCATCAAGTATCCTTTCACTTAGGAAATGAGAAATTAATCTCGTGAAATCATATACAATAATTTCCACGTGACCACATTGAACCAGAACCACACGCTTAAAGAAGTCAAGTCCGATTTATTTTAAGGTTAGGACTTAGGATATAGGTTTCGTTTGGATAAAGTCATCTATAAATATTTTTAGAAGAAAAGAAAATAAATAAATAAAACAAAATAAACTTATTTATAAGTTAAAATTAACTTATATATTAGTTAAAACTAAGATTTTGAAGAAACTAATAAAAAAAACTTCTACAAAATAACTTATTCATAAATTAATTTTAACTTCTGAAAAAATTTATTTCATTTGTTTTTTTCTATCTTGTTCTCCTATAAGTGCTTCTAAAAAAGCTAAAAAGACCCTTATGGTGTGTTTGGATGAGAAATTTATATAGGGTAATTCATTTATTTGAAGAATTTTAAATTTCTTGAGGTTAAATGTTTTGTTTGGATGAGGAATTTACAAAGAATTTGAAATCTAAGCATTTGTAAATTTTCATATTTGTTTTTCTTATTTCACCTATATATTTTATCTTATCTCTTCATTCTTTTAATTATTGGATATTTAAAAATATTTTTAAAATTATTAAATATTATCTTATATTAATTTTTAAAATTATTAAATATTATCTAATATTAATTTTTAAAATTATTAAATATTTAAAAATGGATTAATATTTATTTTTATAAAATTTAATTTAAAAATCTCAACATATAAATATATTTTTAAAATCAATTTTACTATGATGGAATCAAATTATCATATTCAACCTAACAATTTAAAATTTAAGAAATTTGAATTGACTCATCCAAACAAAATATTTTAAGAATGATAGAAATTGAAATCAAAGTAATTCAAATACCAAGAATTTAAAATTTCTTGAATTTGTAAAATTCCTCATCCAAACACACTCTTAGCCTACTTCAGATCCCCTAGCCACGTGAATCGACAACAAATTGGCAAAGCCCCTTGCAAAGTGCATGTTCTAATGACTTGGGCCGTGGCCTTTATATTCATAACACACCTAGTAAAGTGCATGCTTGCCATTAATTCAATCTAACAAAGTGTTTTGGAAGCCAAAATGGCCATATAATAATAAGTTAAAATATTATCAGATTTACAGGCCTATAGGTAACTCTGCTTGCTGTAAATGGAATTACCTCTCTTGTAATTATCCACTGCTACAAAAACACCTAAATTCAAACAAAAAGGGAACAATAACTGATAAAAAAAATATAAAAAAAAGGACACCACATAGTAAATACAGTTTTTTTTTTTTTTTCTGCAACCATCATTTACTCAAAACTAGTAAAGAGCTGAAAACAACTAATATTTTCTTTTCCTAATTTTGGAAGTCATTGTGCGAATAATATTATCATCAGCTTTGAGTGTCTCCTCAAGAATGTTTATGGACTCAGGCTTGGTGCAGTACGTGAAGAGGAGGTAGATACCATCAACGTAAGTGTTGGTCTCTCCTGCCTTGTTTTTCCTCCTGATGCTATATGCTAGTGGAATAACTCCTCTGTTAAAAACATCTATATACATGCCGCCTCCTGCAACAAGTAGCTACAAGAAGGAAAATCGTATCATATTTGTAAAGAACATCTCTAACAGAACATTGCAAAAAAAATATAAAAATAATAATAATAATAAATAAAGAATAAAAAATCATTTCACATAATTCATCATCTTTATCAAAAAGAAACAAGAAAAATATCATTGCAGCAGTTGGGTTTATATGATTAAACTGTCACTTTTCATCATACATGAATATAACCTACTTACAAATCAGGCTTCGACTTGGAGAATGAGAAGTTTACTTTTTAAATTAAACCCCACTGCCCTTATCCTCATAAATATAAAACATAAAAATAAAATAAAAAAAGAATGGCAGCTGATTGTTCACATCTAAACTAGGAGTTTGGTCCTCATTCATATTAGAGTGGGGGCTTAATATGATTCTAGCCGTATGAAATAGGGGTATAGAATCATGGTTTATTAAGGAATTGAGTAGCTACCCCGGACCAGAGGAGGAGGGCTGCTCCTCATTCTGCTTCACCACCCTTACCCTGTTATTGAATTAACAATTCTCAAGACTGTGTTTGGTAAAGGAAAAAGAAATAGAAAGAATAAAAGAAAAGAGAAGAGAAAAAAAAATAGATAAAATAAAAAATGAGTGTATGGTACGAGAAAAGTAGGAGCGAAGTGAATAGAAATAATTTTTTTTAATTGGCTTATATTAGATAATATAAAATAAAAACAAAATTGATGTTCATTGTTTACCATCTTTTTATATTAACTATTCCATACAATCTATTATGTATCAAACATAATCAATCATATGGAGAATGGAGCTATTTTAACACCACGACCAAGGAGGCACAAGCCAAAATTCAAGAGCAAGGAGGCAGCTCTAATTGATTATGCTCACACACTACGCACAACTGTACAAGGAGACAGCGAGGATAAAAAACACCAGTGGCCTCATGCGAATAGGAGGGAAAAAGGTAAAAGAACCAACTTCCCCTCTAATCCTCTCAAGAGAAGATAAAAAAACAAATGGGTCCCACCACATATTCTCTTCACTTCCATTCAAATCCACTACACCAAACACACTACAAAAATCAACTTCCACCCTCTTTCCTCCCCTCCTTCCAACTTCTACCCAACCAAACACAGGGTAAGTGTTCTACCTTTCCCAAAATGCCAAATATTTTGTTTGTACTTGCAACCACACCCATTTCTAGTATTCGCAGAACATTTAAACATAGATGAATGAACTAACCCTCAAGGATTCACGGTGGCACAATAAGTCGAAAGATATAACCAGAGCCATAGGGACACATCTGACGGATCAAGTACCTTGGTTTGTGTTCTACTAGGTCTTTACTTCATATTATTTAGCATACTGATTAACTGAAAAATAATAAGCAATAAAAGAATCGGCAGTCTACAGAGATTTGCTGATTTTCTTCCCCAGGAAAGATAAACATTCAGTACATTCATATTTAGTAAAGGCTCCACTTCTATAATATGAGGACGGGGTTCAACTATGTGAGTTGAGTTTCAAAAACTTGTCCAAATGCAAAAAAAGGTTGTTGCATGGGAATCAAAATAAATTTTACACTTCGAGAAAGCATGCATCCAGTTTTCGTTTTGGACAAAACTTAGTTACTATACTTTAGGTACTTGTAGTGTTGTTCTCCAGTAAAATTTGGAGTTCCACCTCAGCTAAGTAACTCACATCACCCTTTAATGTCCACCTTTAGTATGTGGGTTACCGAGATAAACTCTAACTTTGATGGGAAAACAACATCACAAGCAAAATAAGGTACCAAAACTATGTCTTGTCTTTTAATTTCCTTTGTTAGACAAATATCATCCACAATGTTTGATGAATTCATCATTATCTGCAATTACCCCACATAGTTAGGATCTGAGACCAGGTAAAACTAGAAAATCTAAATACCATAAATACAAACAAGTGTATTGTGTCCTGGACTGTAAAAGATATTTTAATTTTATTTTAGATGTCAGTAAAATTCATATTTTTCAAAGTATACATTTCAATTAGCAATTATTTCAGCATTTTTATTTCATTTGCAGCTTCAGTTCACAATGTACTCAAATTCTTCTCATTTACCACAATAAAATGAGAGAACAAAAACCATGATATCTATCTAGCCGACTAGCCCCAATGACAGTCATGAATGTCGGAAAGATAAAGTCGCTAAGAAAGAATAAATTTCAAAATGTAGACATGTCTTCACCATTTGATGAGCTTGTTCTCTATGAAGTTATTCAACCAGAAGAAGGTGCTCTGTTTGATGAAAAATATTAAAATGAAGAGAAAATATAATATGTTTGACTCATTAGCTTCAGGAACATTGAATATTGGAGTACATTAATGAGCTATTTGAATAAACTTCTCCAAAAGCACTTATAACTTAAAAGAGAAGAAAATTTGAAGAGAAAAATAAAATTATTTTATGCATAAATTAATTTATAGAAACTCTCATAGTTGCTTCTCTAAAAACTTCATTTTTAAAATTTGTGTATATGCTAACTTTAGCTTATTAAGAAGTTAATATTTTTTCCCTTATTTCTTTTACTTTCTAAGTCCTTAAACAGACTCTGATGTCAATGGAATTACACTGTCGTAGTGTGACCAAATTACAAATTGGCATGTAGCATAAGTTGCTTGAGTTTTAAAATAACCACCTCATAAGCCACATACCTAGCATAGCATGATTCCTGATTTCTAATTGGGTGTGAAAATGTTTTTATATAGAAATTAAATTCAAGTTTTGTTAGGTATCCCTTTTAATGATATTATGTTCCATTGGATCCAATTTTCTAAGTGAAAGTGAAACCAGTATCATGCTTCATTGAATTTGATCCCGATCCGATAGGAAAGATTAAAAAGAAGAGAAGGAAAGAAATAGCGAAATACCTCCTCGTACTTGTGAGTGAGTACAAGTCGCTCGTCCTCGGTCATGTCGGGTCTCAAAACGGCCATCGTTTCGTACTGTCGGAGACCGGGCGGGCACGGAGGGTCATCGGGGGGCGGATTCGGGTCGGAGTCTGGCCCGAATCCGGCGGGTTCGAAGGAGTCGGAGAAATTGAGGGTTTCGGCGTTGATGGAAGCGCTTATTCTTCTGCTGATGATGTTTGGGAAGGTAAGGATTGGGCTGGGAATGTTGACGTTCGTGTTAGGGCGAGAACAATAAGAGAGAGGAATCCATGTGTGTGAAGAGGATGATGCCATTGCAGCAACAGATTCTGTTATTCATAAACGATCATCGCTGTTCGACAGACACAACACAGTTGGTACTTGGTGGGAAGTGGGAACTACGCAGCCCACACTACATCAGCGGAAAATTATCATTTTCATTCTTTAATTTGAAATTCTCATATTAATTTTATGAAAATCAAAATCAATAATTAAATTAGATTCAATTTTTTTAAATAAAAAATGTGTGATTAAAATAATAATTTTGATATTTTTTTCATATTTTTAAAATTTATTTTAACTTTTTTAAATGTTTATTTTATTTTTTTATTTTTTAAATTTGGATTGATTTGATTCTTTTTAATTAGTGATTTTTTTCGATTTTATAACTTGATTTTGAATTATTTTTTTTATTAACTTAAAATGTGAAATTTATCACATTAGATTAATTTACATGAAAATTATGTAATTCAATTAATGTTTTAACACAAAAGATTATAAATATAGTGAAAATTGTTTAAAAATATATCTCATGGGATTTTTTGTTTACCACTTTTTTTGGTTTAAACATCAATTCCTATTAATAATTTTCATGTAAATGAATCTAATGAAACAAATTTCAAGTTTTGAATAAATAAAAAATGATTAAATTTGTTGTTTCAAACCCTTAAAACCTTCCTTCAACTTATCCTATGTCTTTTTTGTAGTCTCGTGAATTAGGATCTTGATAAATACATCATGTAGTCTTTTGTCTTTCATTGTCATTTCGTCATTGTAACTTTTTATTTGAGTTATTGATAATGGAGGTAAATTGCTTCTATTTGTTATTATATCTCCCAAACTTTAAGCTTTTAAATAAGTCTTCATTTTTGTAGCTTACAAATAATAGATTTTGCTTACAATTATAGGAGGTGGAGACAAAACACTCTTGTTAAAGACCATTTTTTGTTTATTTTTGAGTTTTTTTAAATGATTTTCTCTCCCTCAAAAACTCTAATTTTTTTCCCTTTCACATGCCCTTAGAGATCAATTAAGCTTTTGATATCATGTTAGACCAAAAAACATACAAATAGTGGACTCTTGACAGGGGACAATCTTGCACTTAACGATCTTTGGTGGACTATTTAAAATAGCTATCAAGTACTAGTATTAGATGTTTGTATATTAGACCTTAGTATCAAACGCTCTAAAAAAAGCTTTTGAAAGAAACCAACGTAAAAGTATATAAAGATGAGAAAAATTTGATTTCATACATTCAGTTTATACTCTCAATTTTGCGCACGTTGAAAGAGTTGCAAGTTGTAAGGCCCACTAACAACTTTGGAAAAAAATATAAATAAATAAAAAAGGATTACATGGGCTTTAATAACCCTTTTAAAAAAAATAAATAAAAAATGAGGTTAATATAGCTCATAGCGACCCTTTTAAAAAAATAATAAAAATTGGGTTATCATAGATTGTAGGGACAAAAAAAAAATCAATCACCCTTAATTTTTTAATGGAACACTTGTTATGAGACAATGGGAATAAAGTATTATTTAGAAACTAGAAAATTGTAAAATAATAATGAAGTTAACCAACCTATAATACCAAGGAAGCATTTATAAATTTGATCTATTAAGGGATTGTTCATATGTAGTCAATTTTTTAATTAGAGATCATAAATAATAAAAATTTAATGCATATCTTCTTTTATGATTAATGATTCATCTTATCCACTTACATGATCAACTTAGTGAGATCATCATCTTATACAAAATTCATCGCACTATATGATTTTTGTCTTAGATAAAGATCCATCTTAGTCATTTCAAAAACTTTATACTATTAATCAAATATTTTTATGTTTCTTAATAGCAAAACTTAAGACCAAGGTAATCTATATTTTTTTTTGACATAACAATGGCATATTTTGTTGGATACACCTTGACAAGTTGAAAGAAATGTAAAACACAATGAAAAAGATAGTAAGATTTTTTTTGTATATGAAAGTTATAAGATAAACTTGTTCTACTTTCACCGAAGGAAAGAATCAAATTAAGCTAAGAATGAAAATAGAAAGAAAAAAATGAGATAAAAAAGATGAAAGATAAAGAGGAAAAACAAAGAAATGAGAGAAAAATAAATAAATTACATAAAAAAAAAAAGATTTGAGAGAAAATAAATTAATTGAAAAATAGAAAGCAAAAGATAAAGAGGAGAATGAGTTTTCTTGTGATTATTCTAAGCCTTTACTTTATTATATATGTTGATTCTCTTGTGAAGAAAATTGAAGAAGAGTTTCCTAAGGAGGAATGTCAAGCTTCACATTCTAATTCTTTGATTAAATGTGAAAATGGAGAAAGAGAAACACACAACTCTAATTCCTTCTTCGAATTTGAATAATGAATTCATTTTTTCTTTTGAATTTGATTGTGCATCTAACTATGAAACTTCATTTGTTTTGATGCCTAAGATACAATTGTATATCAAGGATCAATGGACAAGACAATTTGGAGAAAAAATGGAGGCAAGGAGGACCAATGCAACAAAAAAGAGAATAAAATATTGGATTACACCATCTTTAAACCTTGTGATTTAATTGATGTGTATCATGTGTTAATCCAAAAGGGTTTTTATTTGCATGTTGCTTTTTGTTTGAATATGTTGTTTTAGGTGATGGCACAAAGTCCTTGAGATTTAAGAATAATGAACAACATTTAAGCATGTACGATCATCATGGGACTTTTTCCATGTGTTTTGTTGTATGTCAAGAAAGTGATCATGATGAATTCTTTAATCAAGAGAAATTGTGTCAAAATATGTCATTTTGTGTGCCTAAATTTGGATGGCATGATCAATTAATTAGAGGAATTCATGGAGAAAGTTTAATGAGACATGAGCATTTAAGTGAGAATCACATAAGACATAATGTGTTTAAGTTTAGTGAAAGATGGAATGTGCATCAAAAGGATGAATTAAATTTTTTGGTTAAATACCTGTTTTGGTCCCTTATAATATTTTTTTGTTTCAATTTAGTTCCACTTTAATTTTAGGTCTTAATTTGGTCCCCAATAATTTAAATCATTGCAATTTGGGACTTCCGTCTAAATGATTTAAACGAGGTTAACTCTTGTTGACGTGGATGCCAGGTGGATGCCACGCAGATGCATAGGTGGATGTCAAATGTCATGAATACACGGGAACCAGAACGGACCGTTCTGCATGCACATGCTATGTGTTAATTTTTCAATTGGAACGGGCCGTTCCAAATGTAAATTTAACACAACATGAGTGCATCAGAACGGGTCGTTCTGATGTTAGAACAGGCCGTTCTGAATTCAGAGGGGCCCATTCCAGAACGCAAACTTCATACTTTTTTATTGTATTTTTTTTATTATATCTATATTAATAAAAATATAATAAATAAAAAATACAATAAATTAATATTCATTTATAAATAAAACTAAAAAAAAATCAAATAAGATAAGACCTTCCAAAATCCTTCTTTAATTTGAACTTATCTAGTTTAAAATCTTGACTAAAATGCCGCAATGTGATAAAAAAAATTTGAAAATAAAAATTTATAATATATCATAAATTCAAAGACAGAAACATGGTTCAGAAACTGAAAACAAAAATTCAGAACAAGTTGTTATTGTTGGGGTACATCGTCAATGACTTCAAGGGGAAACATCGTTTCGTTTCATCCTTGACTGTATAGTGTCAATTTGGTAGTAAGTGGTTCACTCCAGTTTGACTAACAATGAAATAAAACTTGTTACCATTGTCCTTAGTGATACAGTGCATCGTCCTTAATGATACATTGTATAGCCCAAATGTTTAGCAATTGAAATTATCAATCCCCATTAACAATATTACTAAATCTAGTGTTCAAAATGCCTTCACGAAATTCTGGAACCAGAACGGCCCGTTCTGATTACACTGTTGGTGTGCTAATTTTGCATCTGGAACAGCCCGTTCCGGGTACAAAATTTACACACCAATAGTGTAACCAGAACGGGCCGTTATGGTTTCAGAACGGGTCGTTCTGGTTCCAGGTGTATTCAAGTGTTTTGGGATCCATCCTACGTGACATCCACGTGGCATCCACCTGACATTCACGTGGCCACCAGTTAACTCCGTTTAAATCATTTAGATGGAAGTCCCAAATTACAATTATTTAAATTATTGGGGACCAAATTGAGACCTAAAATTAAAGTGGGACTAAATTGAAACAAAAAATATTATCAGGGACCAAAAGAGGTATTTAACCAAAAAAATTTGTTCATGATTTTAGATTTTCTTTACTTGATTTTAATTCTCATTGGATTGATTTTAATCACGATTATAAAAGTCTCCAAAAGTATGTATGTAGGTGATTTATGAAAAAAAAAAGTTATACAAGTCATCTTATAAAAAATGTTTAGTTGTTATTGTTTTTATGCAAGGTTGTTTACATTAGCCATTACATAATATTCACGATGAGATCTTAAAGTTATATTAGCCTTGATTTGACAAGAAGCATGCAAAGAGTGATATTTTTGTTGTTGACATCAATTGGTCAACATATCAGTTTATCATCTCTTCTTATTAAGGCACCTTAATCTCCTTAATTTAAAGGCAATGATACCTTAACAATATTAATTAATTTTTTAATGATCAAGATGTAACTAATATCATCATGTCTGTTATAACTTTTTGACAATGTTGCACTGTTGTTAGAAACCAAATTGGAAGACTTTTAGAGTCAATGGGCAAACTTATTTTTAAAAAAATGTAGAAAAAAATCATAATTTTTCATGTAATAGTTAAACATTTTTAACTTATATGTGTTTTTTTAATTTTTGATAGTTAAACATTTTTCATGTTTTAATTATTAGTTGACTTTATTGATTTGAATGTATAAAAATATGAATGTGTATATTTATTTGTCTATGAATTATGTGTATTCAATAATGGTTGAAATAGAAAGAAACAAAATATGGATGTGTTGATCAATCTTCATAGAAATTATATGTGTTTATTGCAAGTTAAAACATAAGGAATCTAAAAAAACAAAATCTTTCAAAATGAAAAGACACATATACATCATTTCAACTACGACCAAATGTAGATGAAGACATAATTTTACATCAATTTTGTTAGAAAATTGATGTAGATTTATATATAAATTTACATCAGAAAAAATTGGTATAAATGTATATATTCTCTATTGGTTTAAAAATTGATGTAAAAGTCTATACATTTTTTAAATTGCTCTATTCTTCATTAGTTTCAAAATTGATGTATATGACTTAATAGAACCCATGTAGATAATGGGTCCTATAACAATGTTTCAAGGGTTTTTTTTTTTTTTTTTTTTTTTTTTCCATAGAAATGTGAATTTTAGAGGGAAGAGATAGAAACAATTTAGAGAAAAAGAAAAAATAATAAAAAGAAACAAACAATTTTAGCAAGAGAAACAAAAATTTCTAGAGGGGATAATGAAGAAACATATAAAATTTTCTGTACAAAAAAAAAAATATTTATGTTGATAACAAGATTTAAACATGAATATTCTCTAATAATTTTTTACACAAGTTAAGTAATAAGTTATATCGAACAATTTATTAAAATGAGTTTAAAACATCTTATAAATAATTTTATAAGTTTTTCAAACATTCTCATAAACATTTAAATAATAAAATAAATATAAATAAATTATTGATAAAATATTTAATGAGATAACCCCTTCCAATAAACCTATCACAAAATTCATAATTAGAAGGAACCATGAAGATTAAGCCAAGAATGAGGTTGGTGAGTAAAGCTCATCTTGAACTATATATTACTTGATGTATAACTCATATTCTTATAAAAATTTCCTTAGGTTAACCTTGTATATTTTTTAATACAAACTTCTTTTAATATATTTTTTATTAGTCAAAATTTATTAAAAATTATAAAATAAAAAAATAATTAATAAAATATAAGACACTAATTTTTATATTTTGTAATAAATTACGTGTAAAAGAGAAAAGAGAGTTTCATCTTTAACATATTTTTTTTAAAAAAATATTATCAAGGTGATTGTAAAAAGATTAAAAGATATTAGTATAAGGTAGTTGAACAGTGAATACCAATTCTGACAACAAAATACCAACACGGGCAAAATACAACTTGCCAAAGTATGAGGTGAGGGTAATTATTTCAAAACCTTGGTTTGATCCCTAAACTAAATAAGGAAAAGCGGCTGCACCGCGCAGAGCAGAACCCAAGTGGTGAAAGAGTGGTGGCGGAAGATGACGGAGGTGGCCAGATCAGTGGTGCACGACGTTTTGGGGCAAAGAGTCGACGACGTAGACCAGCCAATCGTCGATTACATCGTCAACGTCCTCGCCGACGATGACTTCGACTTCGGCCTCCACGGCCAAGGCGCCTTCGAAGCCCTCGGCGAGCTCCTAGTCGCCGCCGGCTGCGTCGACGATTTCTCTGAGTGCCGCTCCGTCAGTCCCAATCCCAACCCCTGTCTCATTCGCTCGCTCTTCTGCATCTCATAACCTAACATTCTCTTCTTTCTCCAAATTCAATTCCAGGTGTGCAGCACGCTCTGCGACAAGTTCGGCAAGCACGGTTTGGTGAAGGAGAAGCCGGCGGTGCGAAGCCTGGCGGCGCCGTTTCGGATGAACGAAGGAATGGACGACGGAGAAGCTCCGAAGAAGAAGCCGGAGCCCGTGGACGGCCCTCTGCTATCGGAACGCGACCGTTTGAAGCTGGAGCGGCGGAAGCGCAAGGAGGAGCGTCAGCGCGAGGCGCAGTTCCAGATGCATCTCGCAGAGATGGAGGCCGCACGTGCGGGGATGCCGGTGGTGTGCGTGCGGCACGACAACAGCGGAGGACCCAACGTGAAGGACATTCACATGGAGGGCTTCAACATCTCCGTTGGTGGGCGCGATCTCATTGTGGACGGCGCCGTCACGCTTTCTTTCGGGAGGCATTACGGTTTGGTGGGAAGGAATGGAACGGGGAAAACCACTTTCCTTAGGCACATGGCTATGCATGCCATTGATGGCGTTCCCAGGAATTGTCAGATACTTCACGTCGAGCAGGAGGTCACGGGTGATGATATCACCGCCTTGCAGTGTGTCCTCAACTCCGACATTGAGAGGACTCAGCTTCTCACCGAAGAAGCCCAGTTACTCGCCAAACAGGTTCGAATCGATGTCTCTTGTTTTGATTTTGCAATTTCTATAGCTGTGTTTGGAAATCAGTTTGAATGGAATTGAAGGGATGTTTTACACTTTCCAATGCATAAATGGAAAAGCTATGTGAGTGATGGATTGAGTTGAGCGGGGATTTAGTTGAATTGAACTGTAATCCAAATATACACTAAGGGCCTGTTTGGATATTAGTTTATAAGAGCTTCTTTACTGAAAAAAAGAGCTATTTCCAGTAAAGAAGCTCTTCTAAACTTGTATCAAAACAAACTTTATGTCTTCCCAAGACTTGGATAACTGAGGACGTTGTTGTGGTTGTTTGACAGAGGGAATTGGAGGACAAAGTTGAAAAGGGTGATTCGAATGGAGTGGCTGATAGGGATGGCATTTCAGCAAGGCTTCAGGAAATATACAAGAGGCTTGAACTCATTGATGCTGATTCTGCAGAGGCAAGAGCGGCATCGATACTAGCGGTGAGTTCATTATTGGTTTCAATATCGATACTAGCGGTGAGTTCATTATTGGTTTCAATCATAATTTGTTCGAGTTGCTTGTTGGAAAGGTCTTATTCTCTTGTTAAACACTTGGATCTCGCCATGCTAATGTGTCTTTCACTTGGCCTTGTTTATTGGGTAATCGGTTTTTCAAAAGGAATACACATAATAATGGTATGAATACTAAATCAGTACTCTTAACATGTTTTTAGATGAGGGTCTCAAACATACTAGCTAGTAGATGAATTTCTGTCTCTCTCTTACTTTATTATCAAGCACTCCCCTGTGATTGGTTTTCTTTTACGTTTGTTAAAATTTGTAGTAAATATTTTCTTACGAAACGGCAACTCTCTTTCCGAAGGCATTATCTTACTGATGATCAAGGGCATTTTCAGGGTTTGAGTTTCTCTCCCGAGATGCAGAAGAAGCCAACAAAAACATTTTCTGGAGGATGGCGGATGCGAATAGCTCTTGCTCGTGCACTGTTTATAGAGCCTGATATATTGCTTCTTGATGAGCCTACGGTGACATATCATTCTAAGTTTCTTTAGTAGTTCATGGATGCCTTGGTTTATGAGATTTATGAATTTTGTTTTATTGCAGAATCATCTTGATCTTCATGCTGTCTTATGGCTTGAATCATACTTGGTTAAATGGCCAAAAACATTTATTGTCGTTTCTCATGCTAGAGAATTTTTAAACACGGTAACATATCAGCTTATCTTTATTTGGTCAGGTGTTTTGTTGGTTAAGTGCTTTCTCTAAATGTGTTCCCAGCATATTTTTTAACTTGTTAATTGCTTTCCCAGGTTGTTACTGATATAATTCACTTACAAAACCAAAAGCTGACTACTTATAAAGGGGATTATGATACTTTTGAGAAGACTCGACAAGAACAAGTTAAAAATCAGCAAAAAGCATTAGAGGCAAATGAGCGTGCAAGATCTCATATGCAGGTATTATTTTCAACTGTTAAAGTTATTCCTTTTTGTGTAGATAATTTATTTTGTTTCTTCCTACTTACTACTTAATCTTTTTGCATTATACTGTATTGCTAAGACAGTAGTCTCTTACATGGTGATTGGAGTGTACACTCTTGCTTTTAAGTTTTATCATAAACAATGTGTTTAGCACTTTGTATGTTACTTTGACTTTCTTTTAAGTGAATTGTGATGCAAGGAGCCCAGGAGCTGCTGCTCAGTTATACTAATTTACTGGGTTGTTAAATTGAATTCTTAATTTGTGAATCTATACAACAAGAACTACACCTTATGTCACTAAGTGGAGTAAACTTCTCAATCTATATTCCATTATATTTATTAGTCAGGAAAATTCATGTTAGAAGTTAGATCTTGCTGGTAAAATAATAAGAGAGACTATATAGATTACTACATTTATGGCATGATGTGTGGACATTGTTTGTTTTCTCAATGTGCTCTCTAATATTAGTTTGGTGGCTCATGCACATATATAGTATTTGTATCTGATACTGATACACTCTCATACTAATATAACATTGTGCGATCACAGAGGTGGTAAAATAATAAGAGAGACTATAATAGATCTTGGTGGGGTAATATAATAAGAGAGCCTATATAGATTACTACATTGATGGCATGATGTGTGGACATTGTTTGTTTTCTCAATGTGCTCTCTAATATTAGTTTGGTGGCTCATGCACATATATAGTATTTGTATCTGATACTGATACACTCTCATACTAATATAAAATAGTTATTGATAGTGTGCGATCACAGAGGTGGTGTGTGTGTTGTTGGGGGGTGGCCTTCGTCAGTCACAGATCTTGAACATGAAGTTTTTTGATATTGTGGCCAACATGGCTGTCAAACTTTCAAGTTAACTCGTTGTCAACTCTTTTCTTGGTAAACTTGCATAAACTCCCAAGTCAAGAAGTGAGTTAGTGATTTTGAAATCAAATGTAATTTTTGTCCTCCATTGACCTTACAATGGTGATGTTTAAAGAACCAAATAAATTGAAGAAATTAACTCGTTTTTGAATGTTTTCAGTCTAGTAACATATGTTTCTGATGAGTTTATCATTTATGTAGTTTTATCTTATGCAGTAGTAATGTATTATCACACTTTAATACTGTGGTTTTCTATTTTTTCTTTTATATGAAGTTAAAATGTTGAATTATTGTTGTTATATCCTGTTAAGTGTGTATATCATTAATAGGTTTAGTATTTTTTTTATATTACATAAATGGAAGCTTCACGAGTTTACATAGACACTTAAGTTTGACAACCTTGGTGGCCAGGTTTGTGGTCCTAAACACTGTCTTGCGAGGCACAATGGTGTCTCTACAGAGAAATGGGTGGATTTCCCTTTTTTGCCTCCAAAACTGCATGTTTTTGAGGGTTTTCTAAAATGGACTTCCCTCTTATTAGACTGCTTAAAAAAAAAAAACCCACACCTCTTTTCCCCCACTTTTACTTCTCCCCTCCCCTGTTTGTCAACAACAACCCCCCCTTCTCTAGTCTCTGTTATATGACTCATCTCCAGCAGAGCCACCCATCTCTGTAATACATGTTTAGGGATTATATATCTATATAATTTTTAAAAAAATATAGTAGTCTTCCTGCTGTAGCATATTTTGGGGTTGGCTGCTATGTGCTGCTATCTAAGACTGATAACTGTGTATATATATAATAACTCATAGTTTTGTGATATCCTTAATTTTTTGATATCCACTACCCTTGTAAGTACTTTCCAACCTAAAGATTATTATGTGAGAACTTGGGAAATAGAACACAATGATAATTGGGATGGGATAATCGCATAATAGAAAATTTTAATTTTATTTATTTCATATATAAATATACATATTTTATTTATTGCTAGTAAAAAAAACTGACTCAATCGAAACTAATAAAATAAATAAATCCATTTGCTGAGAAAAAGGCCAGCAAGGGATTTGAGCCCTTGATGGTTATTTGTTTTGAACTATTCCAGTTTTCAAGACCAGGGCTAACAACCACTCAGCCATCTCTCCAAAGCTAATTTGTATTTATATTTAATCCATCGAATAGAACATGATATGTTTATTGTGCTCCTTTTTTGTAAAAGAACTATTGTTTGTATGTATACATTCTATTGTATACTATACTTGTATGTGTATTTCCCATGCAGCATAGGAAGAACAAGACTTTGATTTGAGACTTGAGAATACCAAAACAATATGATTAAGGCTGAATTTTGTGTTTAGAGAATCTAGACAGTCCGGTTGTTGTATATATTAGTGTTGGTATTAATTATAACGATTCAATCCCACTTATATAGATATATACAATTCTAATTGTTCGTAATTGGTTTAATCATTTATATGCAATGTTACCAGAATATTTGTAGATATTCTAACACTACCTCTAGCTGGTTGGTTATTGTATATCATACTCCCTCTGTTCTCATTTATAAGAATAAAAAAACTGATTTCACACATTAAGAATTTAGTTAATTGCTTTAAATTTTAGTAATCCCGTAATATTCTTCCTAAATTGCTCTTGTTACAAAATGCCCAAAAATGGGGCAACGAAATGGTCATGCATCAAAGGAAATATATTTTAGGAAGAATATTATTAAATGAAGTAAAAGTAGTTGGAATTTGCTTATATTTGAGAACAAAAGAAATGTGTTTTTTTTGCTTATAGAAGAGAACAGCAGGAGTATGTGCCAAGTCTGTCACATGTATAGTTTACCTCTGACTCTGAGGGCCTTAGAAAATTGAGCTAGTTGGCCACTAGAGTTCATAACTTCTGTTGTGGTCTCTCTACACTGAATTCTCCTTCTAAATTCCAATCAACGTGGCAACAAACTTCAATATACTTAGTTCTTTTATGAAAAACAAAATTTGAAGATATATGTAGTGCAGCTTTATTGTCACTAGTTTCATCAGCCATGATTCACAAGTGTTCAATTCTTTGAGCAACTACTTTAATTTGATGAATTCAAAGGTTGTAGCTCCCATCGCTCAATATTCAACTTCCACCTTCTTGCTTTTCCATGATATGGAAGTCATCCTAAAAGGAACACTCAGCCTTTGAAGTAAAGCATCTATCCAAAGGAGAGCTTGCCCTATTAGCTTATCTATAACCCACATATCTCTACATGTCCTTATCTTCATGTAGCAAGCCTCTTACTGGTGCTCCATTAATTTGCCAAAGATTTTGGAACAATTTCATCCCATTGAAAATCACAGAGGTTAAGGAATGGGGTTCTGATACCTGGGGTTTCAAAATCAGATATAAAGTTGATGTCACCAGATTCCAAAAGGTTGTTTGAAGGAAGAAACTTGTCCCAAATAGTCACAACAGGAATCCTCAGTTTCACTGTTATTGAATTTGATGTGCAGTGAGGAATTGCTGCTGAGCACTGGTTTTGTTGGGAGAGATAGGTTAAAACTGGGCTTAGGTATCAACATATAAATACTAAAAAAAATCTGGTTTGGGATGAATTTTGTGTGGGTTTAGACATTCCACACACATGCTTGCTTTCCATATTAATGTTACTAGATGTGTTAGTATTAATTAGGCGAAATTATACTTTTGGTCCTTTATCTTATTTTTTTAGATTCATTTTGGTCCTTTATCTTTTAAGATGCTCATTTTGGGCCTTTATCTCTTAAATTTAGCTGAATTTAGTCATTTTGAATCCTTTTTTGATTGATTCAAGACTTGAAACTTGTTTCATAAGATTCACTTATATGAAAATTATTACATGCAATTGAAGTTCAAACCAAATGTGTTATAAACATGATGAAAATCGAAAATTCCAAAAATAAAAATCTAATTTCATTTTATTTTCTAATTGTTCATAAGATATATTTTTCATATAATTTTCATTACGTTTATAGTCTTTTTTAAATTCAAAACGTATAGTGCAACAAGTTTCCTGTTTTGACTTTTGAGTAAATAAAAAATTGATTTAAAATTATGTCGCAAAATTGATTGTTTTAAAAGGATCAAATTAGATAAAAGATCAAAATGAACATTTTAATTGATAAAAGACCAAAATGAATTTAAAAAATAAGATAAAGGACCAAAAATATAATTTAGCCTAATAATTACATTGATTGAATCCTAATTATACAGATATATGCCTAAGTTAGTTCTTAAGATTGCTCATATTTGATTCTGGGTGTGCTTGGATAAACTTTGAAAAACTCTGATTATATTGTTTCTTTAGAGATTTTTTCATATGATACTCTTTCTAGCTTCTATGGAAAGTGGCATTTTTTGGTTTGTTTCTTTTTATCAAAAAAACTTGTTCAATTATCACAATTTTTTAGACATTTTTTAATTAAAAGATTAAAAAAAGGCCCATTATCATATATACATAGTCACCTAACATGGTTTATTCCATTTATGATTTTATCAAGAGATTGCTGTTAGCAATTTGCAGAACATGTGCCTGTGTTGCATTTTACTTAAAAGATTCTATTTGACATCTGACATGTGAATTTTGCTTTTCTACCAGACCTTCATTGACAAGTTCCGTTATAATGCGAAGAGGGCATCACTTGTTCAATCCAGAATCAAGGTACTTGTTATTGTCAGATTACCTTCCTATAAATTGAATGCCCAAAAAGTTGTATGCATGTGCGTACATCATGTACTATTATTTAGTTTTTTCCTGGGTTTGGTTGTTTTTCTGTTTGTTTAAATCATTAGATCTGATATTTCTGTACCTGAAACCTTTTTTCCCTGAAAAAAATATTTCAGGCTTTGGAGCGAATGGGCCATGTAGATGAAATTGTTAATGATCCTGAGTATGAACTGCTATTCTTTTATTGTTCATCATTCCAAAACGTATTTGTATGTGTAGCTTTGTTTAAGTTTTTAACTATATACTTTCTTTGGTTGGATATAGCTACAAATTTGAGTTCCCCACTCCAGATGATAGACCTGGTGCACCAATTATAAGTTTCAGGTAGAACATAAGTCCCTTCTTTTACTCGCTCTGTGGACAATATTGATTTATGCGGACCAATGAAAACAAAAGTATAAAGTTTTTCACATACAGTAGGCCTTAAATGTGACATAAATTGAAAATTTTCAATCATGTGTGCAGTGATGCATCATTTGGTTATCCTGGAGGGCCCACTCTGTTTAGGAATTTGAACTTTGGGATTGATCTTGACAGCCGAATTGCAAGTAAGAATGCTTATCCTGGTCCCAAAATGATTTTTCTGTCATACCTTTTGAATCCTTGTGTTGTTGATGTTTTCATTCATATTATATTAGCATCATATCATATCCAACATGATTGCCTTGTATGTAAGCCATGGTTTTATGTTATGGACATGACATTCCTGGGTTGCATCTTTTGGTAAATTAATCTATCTGTGGGAGAATGTTGTTAAAATAATGGCTTGACTCTGCCATATTGTTTATGTGTTGAAGATTATATCCTCAATGTTTGCAGTGGTTGGACCAAATGGCATTGGCAAATCAACTATACTTAAGTTAATTGCTGGGGACCTACAGCCCAGTTCTGGAACTGTCTTCCGTTCTGCTAAGGTAACTATATTACATTGTAAAATTGTCCTACAGCTTCATTAATAAAAGTTACCACCTCTGGTCCTAAAATATAAGCAACTAATTAGATTTTTTGTTGGTCCTAATTATTATTATAATCTACAATCATTAGTTTTTTAAAGTTACTCCAAGATAAATTTCTTTTATACCCCATAATTTATTATTAACTCTATTTCTTATATATATATATATATATTTACTTATAACTAACATTAAATATAACAATCATGTAAAGCAAAGGGTATCTTTGCCTTTGGAATAAAATTTGAACTTGTGATAGAATTAATTAAAAACAACTAGCTCAACTACTTTTCTTAGTCTCGATGATTTGTTCTGTTACTTATAGTTAGGACCAGAGGTAGTACTTCTGTCTGCCTCACCTTCATGACATGCTTTAAATGTTTTTTACTTTATTTTCTGCATTTTACATACTAGGCATTCGTTGTTTTACATGTATTGGATATATTTTTCTTGATCCTTGACAGTGTCAACTTTTGAATTACCAATATTTTCTGGTTTTAGCCAGTCAGATGTAAATTTTAAAACCAGTTTATGTATGATTTGTAAAAGGTAATGTATTTTACTTGTTACTAAATGACACTCTGGGAACTAGAAATGATCAGAGTGGCAGCACATCTGTCCTTAATAATGTATTTTCATACTTTAATATTATTTTGGATCATTGATTACACATCTTTACCGTCTACAGGTTCGTATAGCAGTGTTCAGTCAGCACCATGTTGATGGACTGGACTTATCGTCAAATCCTCTTCTGTATATGATGCGCTGCTATCCTGTGAGTTCCTTGTATTTAGTGATTGTTAATTGTTTTCTGAGTGTTTTATAGGAGTTAAAATTAAATGCTTGACGATCGGAGTTCCCAACCTTCTAATTACTGACTTCTTTTACTAGAAGAATCAAGGATTTAAATTCTGGTTATGGTTTTCATTGTGGGTCAATGTGGTCTGCAATTGTGTTGGCTACCTCAAGTCCTCAACCAATATGTTTTGCATGTTGTGATGCAGAATGAGATTTGAAACATTGGGAAGAATTCAAGGATGAACAGTGTAGATGAGATTCAATTCAGTTGTGTTACTTGTGTATATATGTGAAAACTGATAATTCTAAATCTCCCCTCTATCTGTGAATAAATGCACGAGTATTGTTTTGAATGCTGAAGACAATTTATGTTTGTCTTGTGAAAATGTTTTTTTTATATTTTTTTAATTGGGTTGGGGGGGCGGGGTGTTGTTGGATCAGGTCTATATTGGATGCTAGGCTGCAATGTGGTGTTTCTGTCAAACTTGCTTAGTACCTGTGTACTTTATATTATTAAATATTCTTATTTGAATTATTTTGCAGGGAGTTCCAGAACAGAAGCTTCGAGCTCACTTAGGTTCTTTTGGTGTAACCGGAAATCTCGCACTGCAGCCAATGTATACTTTGTCAGGTATTGTTTGCATAATTCATGTAGTTATCATAAATAATTTTTAATGATCTTTTAGAACTTCAATAATATATGTTGACACTCTCAGTGGGTGTGTTGCAATGGATATATTATACAGATGTACGTTTCTGTTATGAATTATATTTTTTGACTTCTATAAATGCTTTACTAGGTGGTCAGAAAAGCAGGGTTGCCTTTGCAAAGATAACATTTAAGAAGCCACACATAATATTGCTTGATGAGCCATCCAATCATCTGGTACGTTGCTGTGTCTCTCCATCATTATTTGTTGCTTCTGGGTGGGCTACTGGACCAATAGCAACTAGTTTAGAGTCTTGTTTGTTGCAGGGAATGTACGATGTGTCTATTGAGTCTTGTATTTGTTTTTTGTCATGGTTGTGCTCATTTTCTCTTTTGAAATGGTATACGAACAGCTTGTGAGGAGAAAATAGATGAAGGTCCTACTCGGGGTTTTGGATAAATTCAATTAAGCTTGTAACCTGACCTTGTCATTTTAAGGAGATAGACTCGTTGTCCTGTCCAAAGCAAATTACATATCCTGCACTGAATCTCAAAGCTATAGTACTAATAAGATTGAAATCCCTTGACAGGAATATTCCTGGGCATTTTTATTTGTTAGTGTCCTTTCTGCCCATTAAACTATTGATGACACTATTTGTCTCAACGAGACATTTGCAAAACAAATTGAATGTAGATAGGCAATTTCAGTTTTCAGGAGGATTTCTTGGAATATAGCACTAGGGTTGTAATTGCGAGGCACACTGCTCTATGCGGTGATCTAATTGAGATTAGGCCAATGGACTCGGAAGAAAAACCTGTAATATCTTTTTATTTTTTTTTGTTACCAAGTGCAATACTTGACTATCATGAATTCATCTCCTGCTATAACAAATTGATCCTCGCCAAGAAGTTACAGTGCAGCTTGTACCGTATATTGTTACTTAAGGTTAAGTGACAATAGAACATAAATCCAATATTGACCGAGAACGTAATATGTTGTAGGATTTGGATGCTGTTGAGGCTCTTATTCAAGGTCTTGTGTTGTTCCAAGGAGGCATTCTCATGGTACGTTAAGCTCTCCCTCTTACAGCATATTCTTCTAACATTATCTGATTAGATTGCAATCTTATATCTAAATTGATGTCTGTGTTTTGGCAGGTGAGTCACGATGAGCACCTTATCTCTGGAAGTGTGGAGGAACTATGGGTTGTATCCCAAGGAAGAGTGACACCATTCCATGGCACATTCCAAGATTATAAGAAGATACTCCAATCATCCTAGGAAAGCAAGTTACTATTAAAACATTATATTTTTGTGGATAGAGACTACTCTTTGGTAACTGGAAGACACCTGGATGGCGTTTTTTTTGCTGACCGTGTAAGCCTTCATACATCGGAAAATCTGTACAATTTTGCAATTTATCAAAAACTATGTATAAATAACCCGATTTGAATGCATTTTTATTATTTAATGAGCACCAGTGGTGATGGTAATCGGGGAAGAACTGAGAAGAAACAGAATAGTGAATAACACTACTAGAGTTAGTTTGGTGGCTGGGAGAAAAGGGTTGAGGGAGATAGAAACAAAGAGAATAGGGAATAGAGATACAAAAGAGTATGAGCTAACGAATTTCGTGCAATTACTCACTCTAAGCAATAATATACAGAATGTATCCCAACTATCTCAACGGGGTTCCAACAGACTTTAACTATTAGGAATTGCACCTTTTATTCCTATTTACGTAATTATGTGTATCAATAACCTTCCCTCGACACCACCCTTATCCTCAAAGGGTGAGCTAGCCGAGCAAAATTATGGAACTTTTGCAGTTGGTACCAAGTCTCCCATTTAGCTATAAAATGATTAGTGGTATTATGCCACCATTCAGCTAACAGTAGCCCTCGTGGACTATATATTAATGAGAAACAGTCTATATTTTACAAATGATTTTCTATGGTTGAATTTTATAATTCATTTTCTTAATATAACATCAGAGCACCCAATATTTGCAACGCTCAATCTTGCAAGCTATTCTCAAAGTATTATAACGTGCACATAAAATTTCTTTTGAAAGACTAATAAGAAAGTTCAGATTATTAAACAAATATATCTAGTTAAAGGCAAATGCATAACGTGAACATAATTGGCAAATGAAAAAGACAAGCAGGACTTTTTCTTGATGCCATTGACTTGCCTCTCAAATGATGAAGCGTGGGAACAAAACTATAGGCCTTTGCTTGCACTCGCTTACAAAAAAGAAAAGCTTTCATCAAGTTAGGACTTGGGAACAATCAATATTTAATATTTAATTATTTACAAAGGTAAAACAAAACTTTCTGACTTGCTTGTGGCTCTTCTGTGACACGTACCCCCCAAGAAGAGAAGTTAAAATGGAATTGTTGATTAAGCATAGGAGATGAAAAAGTTAATTCGCACATTTTCAATCAGTGCTAGCGACAGAACTGAAGCAATATGAATGTTCAAAAATGACACTTTTGGATCAATACCCCAATGATGCTCGACAAATATCTCGGATTTGTGTATGTCGGTATTTTTTCAACGACCACATAATTCTCCTCATATCATTTAACTTTTTCATAATAAAATGTTAAAAATTAAATGATATATATATATATATATATATTAAAAATATTTGTTTTAGGAGAAATACAAAACTCATTTAATAACGTTAATATCTTTCTTTAACGTATAACAGATAACACAATTTTTTGTATACAAATTTTTGAATTATTTTATGTTTATAGCTTCCTTTAAACCACTCTCCCCCATTATCTTCTTTTCATTTAATTTCTGTTTTCTTTTTTCTACTCTTAAATTTCTAACTAATCACTCATTTAATTATTTTTTAATTTTAAATAATAGAGTCAGATAGCACCTCTCTCTTTCTGGTTGTTTTAAAATATTTAATATATATAATACGTACGTATTAATATTTTACATCTCATGCCTATATATGTCATAAAAAAATCCTATTATATATTATACTTGCAGAATAAGGAAGTAGATGGTCCTGTAATGTGGTGTAAGTTGAGATGGACCCAAACAAAGCTTCTTTTTAGCTTATTGGTGGCGATGATAGTATTTTCAGAGAAGAGTGAGATGTTTTCATGCATAATTCCTTTGTTTTGTGGTACCATATTTTGGAAGTAGAAGAGTGAGGAAGTAAAAGGGATAGGTGCTAGCAAGAGTCAAGATTCTCATCCAGAAAGAAAATATTTCGATGTAGGGGACCCCATGCACATTACTTATACTCACGCAAAAAGTCCTAGCCACCGCACCAAAAGCAATGCCTATGCTTCTGTTATGATGAACAATGAATTGGCTTCTCACAAATTTTAATTTTCGCCTTGGATACCCTCATATGAGCAATTCAATTATCTATTATCTATATAGAAGATATGAGTTGATACTTGCATTAATATGATACTAACGTTTTTTCAGAGTTTAAACTTAATTTAATCATACAAAATTGATTTATAAAGTAAAAATTACTCTCATTCATCTCATCGAAAATATAAACATTTCAAATATGAAATTTATAAAACTAATATTTATGGATGGTCTAATAATATCCCAATAATAAATAGTTCAACAGACTCAACAATAATTTTTATAATAAACTTTAATATCATCATAGAAATGTAGATTTTTAGACATTTCGCGCATTAGGATTTATATTAAAATAGAATTTTCATTTATTTATTTTATTTTGGTCATATAATTATTTGATATGAAATCTCTTATAATTATAGAAAATATTATTCTAAGTCAATGTACATCGAAGTTAGTAACTATATAATACTAGGATGGAAGTATATATAGATTATCTTATCCTTTATGATTAATATGAAGTGACATAACATTTGTGCTATTGTCATTAAGAGAGAACTATGAATGATAAGAATGATGCTATATTTTTATAATATTTTCTTTTCATACATGTATTGTCTAAGTCAATAATGCTGAGCTGAGCTTGTGTTGAGTAAGTCAAGTTGATCATCAACTTGTTTGTGTAGGATCCTAAGGGATAATTCCCTAGGTAGTTTTACCCTTAACGATCAAGGAATAATTGTCGGACTATATTTCCTATAATCTCATGATCCCTCAAAAATCAAGTTATCAAGAATAATATCTTGACATAACTACCACAAAATATCTTTGAAGATCATGCACCAAATAATCCCTAAGCATGGAGATAAGATCCTAAGCATATATATTTGGCACTAAGTATCATTTTTACCTTAATTCAATTCTTAATCTAAACTCCTTTCTAACTTGAGCGTTAGAGTGCTTCTGCAAGTGTCCCTCCTTGCTGTCAACAATTGGAGTTCAAAGAATGTGATCTCCCCTGTCAGAGCACTTGTAGAATTTGATAAAAGCATTTTGCACCCATCATGGGCCAAAGTAAAACAATTATTTAACCACACATGGTTTACACTCAGAACCAGACAATGAGTAATAATGCAATGGCAACCTATGTGACAAATGACCACCTTAGACTAGCCTTAGTGTAATAGCCCTCGGGAATCATTGCCACCACCATGACACCGCCTGTGGTGATCGTGGAACCATCTACCACCACTACGATGCCACCCATTGCATCATCCATCGTTGAATTGTTGTAGTGCATGGAAGCCATGCAAAAACGCATAATGAAGAGGCCCTAGTGGTCCTTTGTCAGTAATACAGGGCCGATTGTGCCCATTATGAGTAGGAACAATGAGCCTTGTGATAAGAGAACAATGATATTCGCTTCAGGATGAGTGTTTCAACAACAAATGAGTACGCGATCTCCAAGCCCACTAGAGACACACACCGCGCAAGGCTCCTTGCTTGGCCAAAACGGTCAAGCTCAACCTCGGACCACGCTTGTGCAATATGTAAGAGAATGTCATGGTTATCCCTTCACTGAGGACATGTGTGACACCCTTCTACCCTGAATTAAATCAAATAAAGATTTGTAATAAAATGCATCAAAATTAAAAAAAATATATTATAAATTGCTCAATTATCTTATTATAGTAAAAAGGTTCACAATTTTTAAATAAATTTTTAAAATAAAAGTATAACTAAATAATTGCATAAATTCGACGTGAGTCACAAATCACTTGTGTACACAATTTCCAACATAAAAAAAAATTTATCACACATAAATTAACTCCAAATATGACTAAGAAAAGTAGTAAACTCTTCGCTCCAATATCACATCATCAGAGAAAATCCCAATATAAGAGAAGCATTAAGCTTTGCTTCCATTAAACTCCTTCTCTAGTACTTGATCTAATCCTACAAATGGCGATCAACTCAAACACAAACACACCAATACACAAGGAGTGACGATACATTTCATCCATGTACAATATATATAAAGTCTAAGGGTAGTACCAACATACATACATCATATTTAGGCTACACACAAGTATTCACAATTATCCATCATCATACACCTCAATTATATCAATTAACTTTGAACCTCATTCAAACAACCCAAACATTTACAATTAAAATACATGGACTCATGCAAATGCATGCATGTAATTTTTCATGTATGTGGTATCAAATCTTCTCGTCATCCTCAACTTAGAATAACCCAGGAGTCATAGAAAGGGACCACCTCCCTGCAAGCCATGTGATCTATGATCTCCTCAAACCCATCTATGCACATCCACATATTATTTTACTCAATTTATTTGATAGATTAACATTATACAACACACAAAATAGCCATTACACATCAATACACTTTGATTCATTCATCCAAGTAAAAAATCCCCAATATCATAACCCTAGCCCTCAAGTGTTGTAATTAATCATCATATCAATCCAATTAGAGTTCATGGACAAATTATTAATGCAATACAACACTTCATTAACATATTTCATGCATATCCATAAAAATTAAATTAGAAACCTAAGAGGATTAGGGATTGTCTCTCTACCCTTATCCCTCACATATATTCATAGATGCGATAATCTCACTCCTCCTTACCTTGAGTGATGATTTCGTAGTACTATGTGCTTCCTGGAGCTTTGGCATTACTCTGCACTCTTTTTGGTGGCCTTCTTTAGGTTTTCTTTTGCAATGCTCTTAGGATTTTAGAAGACTTGTAATAAAATCTGACCCCTTGATTTTATTTTTAATAAGCATTCTAGTTGGGCTTATAACCCAACCCAAAACTCTCCACTTACAAAACTCTTCTTATTTTATTTAGATTAAATAAAATATTTCTTTATATTATAACTTAATTAATCTTAAATTATTATTTATTTATTTATTTATTTTAGAAAGAGGGATGCTACAACATGATTGATGTACCACTTCCTTGGTTATGGAAAAGGGCAAAGATATAAATTACATGAAACAAAAGGCACGATGATAGATGAAATTTAAGTGAGCTCCAAACCACCAAACTACCCATGATAATAGAAAGTAAGATATATTGTAAGAAAAAAGTAGGAAAATGATAGATAA